GCAGGACCTATTCCAGTGGCTGCCAAGGTGACAGTTATGTTATTATCTTCATTCCTGGGATGAGGGCTGACTAGGTTGAAATTTATTGCTCATCTCTAATTGCCCAGAGGGCAGCTAAGAGTCAATCACATTGCTGTGGGTCTGGCGTCACATGTAGGCCAGACTGGATAAGGATGGCAGTTTCCTTCCCTAAAGGACATTAATGAGCCAGATGGGTTTTTCTGCCAAATGACAATGGATGTGTGGCAATCATTACACTTTTAATTCCAGATTTTTATTGAATTCAAATTCTACTGTCTGCTGTGGCAGGATTCAAACCTGGGTGCCCAGAACATTACTTGAGTCTCTAGATTAATAGTATAATGATATACCAATAGGCCATCACCTCCCCTGCACTAAACTTAATGCAGCTGGCTGCTTCCAAGTAGCCACATGGGAACCTTGACCCACAAATGTATCAAGGCTGTTGCTGATGCAACTTGTGCCAGGTCACATCACTTCATCTCATTTCTCCAACGCAAGGTGAATGCTGCAGCTGGGCAGATGGCTTTGTCAACATAGCTGCATTTCCCCTACATCTGGGATTGTATAGGCTACATGCACATTACATTGAAAACACCAAATCAAAATACAGCTGACTTCAGCAATAGAAAAGCATTCCATTCCATCAATGTAATAGTCATCTGTGGTCATCAACACCACATCCTAGAAGTCTGCACCACGTACCCTGGAATCTTCCATGATGCATGTATCCTTGAGACCTCCCAAATTTCTGCTTTGTTTCATGGGCCAGATGCCTTACAAGGATTGTTACAGAGAGACAAGGTATATACTCTGTGACTGTGGCCACTGACTCTGATACTGAGGCCGGACATAGATACAATGCAGCCCATTCTTAAACCAGGGGTACCATGGAGCAGAAGATGGGCTATCTGAGGATGGGTTTCAATTGCTTAGATCTGGAGTGGGCCTTGCGGTGTCGCAGAATCCTAGCATACAATGCACTGCACAACTGGAGCAGGCAAAGAGAGGATGTGATGGACACTGAAGATCTGGGAGTCCAGCATCAGTCTTCCAAGTAGCAAGATGAGACACTGAGCAGGAGAAAAGGCATCTTCAGCATATTAGAGTGGTGCAGCATCAGAAGCCAGACAGGACTTAACTGACATCCAGTTCCAGTAAATGTGAGCCAGATGCAGAGATCATTCACTGACTGTAAATTTATTGGAAGATCTGCTGACAATTTGCCTTCCATAACACTGAATCAAACACTAACACTCTGCAGCTTAGGGAGCCCATTCAGCCTGCTATTCCTTTGCAGTCTCTTTACCGTTCCCATTAATATAGGTCTACATTTCAACATGCACATTTAATCAGTTCCCAGTAGCAAATGCAACTTTGTTTGTTTTTTCCTTCACTTCTGATATTGCTAAATAAATATCAACATTGTCCACTTTTGAGTGGATACCGGTACTTGATGCCCTACATTGAATAATTAGAGCATGTTGGACAACACTAAGCATAAAGGAATGAAGAGCAATTCCATAGACATGGTTATAAAATGGAATGACATTAAGAATGTTAAACTGTTTAGTTTGGTTCATATAATTGCAGTTACAATGGTTGTAGAACAGACAGGTGAATGATGCAAAATGGCAATACATTTCTAAAGGTGAGCGTGTATTTGTGATGAAGTGTCAATGATGCCACCTATGTGCCACAGAAGCATTTTTTTTTGTTCCTCTCCCAATACTGTGAAGAACAGATCTGACTGATAGCTGCACCTGCATGGTGCACTGCTGGACTTTAAATATGGTGCCCATGCAGGGAATCTTGGGAGGTCTGAGCAGCAGAAAGTACTACTGCCGTTGTTCATTGAATTCTATGGAATGCTAGTGATTAGCTAATGAGGTGAGCTGTGGAGAATAATTGAGAAAATCCGCTAGAACTCATGGAGACAAACCCTTCATGAAATATGCCCAAATTTGCGCTTAGCCAATTTCTAGTAAAATTAGTCCTAAATTTCTTGTCTAACTGGAGGTGGTTTTATTTCTTTCTCAAGTTTGTGATCAAGAAATATGATTTCAACTATCCCAACCCTTTATTCAAAACCTTTAACAAGTCAGTTATGCATTATTCTCTTTTTGATGCAATCTGGTTCATGATTGACTGCTGGTTGGTTAGTGTATTCTCAAGTTGTCTTCCATTCACTTAGCCACAAAAGTAATTCTTATTGTACTGTTGTGATTACCCATCTGACTTTGATGAGCTTGTTGCCATCAACTGTTCTATTTTAATATAACTTGACCTGTTCAATTCATCAGCATTAAGGCAATTAAGAAGTACCTATGCAATTAGCAAATATTGCAGTCATCCAGTTTCCACGTAACAAATAAAGCTGTGAACTTGCAGTCAGTCGATTAACTCAATTCCTTCCAGGCTTGACTTTACCTTCCATGTGTTTGCATTCCTCTTGCATAATTCGTTTCCTGTCATGTTGAATTTTTTATTATAATTTAATTATGCCATTCAATCTCCAAGAAAAGAAGAATAATTAATATTTAAACCATAATTTGCCTGTCTGTTATAGACACGCTGTAATGTAACTCATGATCCATCCTTGAGAGATCAGGTTAAAACAAAGAGGAATGTTTGAACAGCAGGAAGAACAACATTTTCTGCATGATAAAGTGCTGCAGCTTCAAGTGCAACAAGCCAGATAGTACTTAGCTAACACACAGTTCCTGCAGGTGAGAGCTGGGTGCAGTGATCATTCATTGACTGTAAATTAGTTGATGCTGGAAAGGCAAGCAGTTCCCCTGCATTCCTCGGGGCAAATACAGCCTTTTTTTTGCTTGCTTTTGCTGTTGCTGAGTGCAAGTGAATGCATTGAATGATTTCAAGGCTTTCCTATTTGTGATGGTCCCATATTGCTGGACCATTATTACAAAGATGCTTGGCCATACTGGATTTTGAAGAAAGAGTAGCACTGATTTTGACAGGCTTGTAAAATGGGCTGAGGCTAAGGATAGGTAAGTTGATTGGGTTGGAATATAAATGGCAATAGATAAATGAATGTGATCTTGCATGTGCAATGAAGTATCAGTTGTGCTAGCTACGTGCCCTGAGAAACATTTATGTGGTGCTTGTAAAATTTGCTATGCACACAGCGAAGGGTAACTCTGCACTGCCAACACTTGAGTGGGTGCGTGTCTGGACATTTAAGATGGTGGTGGTGCCAGAGATCCTGGGAATTCCCAGCGGTGGTGAGTACTTCCACCTGTAGTGATTGGGAGAATATAACAAGTAGGGTGCTATAGGGGCATGGTGCATTGGTAATGAGGTGATTTTGTGAAGATGATATGAGGAAACTCATCGACCTCATGGAGAGAAACATACCATGAAATTTGGCAAAATTAACACATAATTGGTTCCTATTAAAATTCACTGCTATATGTCTGATTCCTGTAAATAATTCTTTTGACTAAAGATTGGTCCCAGTTGTATCCCCAATCATCTAGCTTTTAAAAATGTAAGAAGCTGCAGCAAACATGCATTATGACCTCATACTGAGTTAATAAGTATCAATATGCATAATTAGTTGCAAAATTATCTAATTCGCATTTGTAGGTTTCAGAGGTGCTTACGAAGCTAGTATCTATTTCAATGCAGAATTATGAATATTTTCTGTTTAATATTGTCCCTGATATTGATCTGACAAACATTAATATCATATGAGGAAGGTGAAAAAGCTTCAAAGAATTATAGCGATGCTTTAAAGAATGATAGGGATACCTTGACCAACAAACATTCTCATTAGTTGGCAGTTTATGAATGCTGATCACCCAACAAAATTGCAAGAAATCTAGTTATTTTATATGTTTTGTTCTGGTTTATTTATCAACTGTCTTTGGAGAAATACAGATGAAATACTATGCTTATATCAGATGAGGGTTAAATTACAGACAGGAAACCAAATGTAAAATACATGGCTCACTTACTGGAATGACCAATACTACTGCACCCTAAATAATATTTAGGGCAAGGCCAAAATTTATAACATTAATCTTAAACCTAAACATCGGGGCGTGCCTTCTGTTTAATATTAGGCTAGGCTAGCAATTTATTCGGGGTGATGACCTCGTGGTATTTTCACTGAGCTATTAAATAAGAGACCTAGGTAATGTTCTGGAGACTTGGGTCAAATCCAGCCATGGCAGATGGTTGAATTTGCATTCAATAAAATTCTGGAAGTAAGTGTCGAATAATGACCATGAAACGATTGTCAAGAAAAAAAATTGGGATCACTAACATCCTTTAGAGATGGAAATCTGCTATCCTTACCTAGTCTGGCCTAGATGTCACTCCAGACCCACGGTAATGTGGTTGGTTCTTAACTGCCTTCTGAGATGGTAATAAATGCTGGCCAAGCCAGTG